CTGTATAACACTGTCTCACCTGTATAATACTGTCTCACCTGTACAACATTGTCTCACCTGTATAACACTGTCTGACCTGTATAACACTGTCTCACCTGTACAACATTGTCTCACCTGTATAATATTGTCTCACCTGTACAACACTGTCTCACCTGTATAACACTGTCTGACCTGTATAACACTGTCTCACCTGTACAACATTGTCTCACCTGTATAATACTGTCTCACCTGTACAACATTGTCTCACCTGTATAACACTGTCTGACCTGTATAACACTGTCTCACCTGTACAACATTGTCTCACCTGTATAATACTGTCCCACCTGTACAACATTGTCTCACCTGTATAACACTGTCTGACCTGTGTAACACTGTCTCACCTGTACAACATTGTCTCACCTGTATAATACTGTCCCACCTGTACAACATTGTCTCACCTGTATAACACTGTCTCACCTGTACAACACTGTCTCACCTGTATAACACTGTCTGACCTGTATAACACTGTCTCACCTGTACAACATTGTCTCACCTGTATAATACTGTCTCACCTGTACAACACTGTCTCACCTGTATAACACTATCTGACCTGTATAACACTGTCTCACCTGTACAACATTGTCTCACCTGTATAATACTGTCCCACCTGTACAACATTGTCTCACCTGTATAACACTGTCTGACCTGTGTAACACTGTCTCACCTGTACAACATTGTCTCACCTGTATAATACTGTCTCACCTGTACAACACTGTCTCACCTGTATAACACTGTCTGACTTGTAAAACACTGTCTCACCTGTACAACATTGTCTAACTTGTATAATACTATCTCACCTGTACAATACTGTCTCACCTGTACAACGCTGTCTCACCTGTACAACACTGTCTCGCCTGTATAACACTGTCTCAACTGTATAGCACTGTCTCATCTGTATAATATTGTCTCACCTGTACAACACTGTCTCACCTGTATAACACTGTCTGACTTGTAAAACACTGTCTCGCCTGTATAACACTGTCTCAACTGTATAGCACTGTCTCATCTGTATAATACTGTCTCACCTGTACAACACTGTCTCACCTGTATAACACTGTCTGACTTGTAAAACACTGTCTCACCTGTACAACATTGTCTAACCTGTATAATACTATCTCACCTGTACAATACTGTCTCACCTGTATAACACTGTCTGACCTGTATAACACTGTCTCACCTGTACAACATTGTCTCACCTGTATAATACTGTCCCACCTGTACAACATTGTCTCACCTGTATAACACTGTCTGACCTGTGTAACACTGTCTCACCTGTACAACATAGTCTCAACTGTACAACACTGTCTCACCTGTACAACACTGTCTCACCTGTACAACACTGTCTCACCTGTACAACGCTGTCTCACCTGTACAACACTGTCTCGCCTGTATAACACTGTCTCAACTGTATAGCACTGTCTCATCTGTATAATACTGTCTCACCTGTACAACACTGTCTCACCTGTATAACACTGTCTGACTTGTAAAACACTGTCTCGCCTGTATAACACTGTCTCAACTGTATAGCACTGTCTCATCTGTATAATACTGTCTCACCTGTACAACACTGTCTCACCTGTATAACACTGTCTGACTTGTAAAACACTGTCTCACCTGTACAACATTGTCTAACCTGTATAATACTATCTCACCTGTACAATACTGTCTCACCTGTATAACACTGTCTCACCTGTACAACATTGTCTCACCTGTATAATACTGTCTCACCTGTACAACACTGTCTCAACTGTACAACACTGTCTCACCTGTACAACACTGTCTCACCTGTACAACACTGTCTCGCCTGTATAATACTGTCTCAACTGTATAGCACTGTCTCACCTGTATAACACTGTCTCTCCTGTACAACACTGTCTCACCTGTATAACACTGTTTCACCTATACAACACTGTCTCACCTGTACCACACTGTCTCGCCTGTACAACACTGTCTCACCTGTACAACAATGTCTCACCTGTATAACACTGTATCACCTAGACAACACTATCTCACCTGTACAACACTGTCTCATCTGTACAATACTGTCTCACCTGTATAACACTGTCTCTCTTGTACAACAATGTCTCACCTGTATAACACTGTCTCACCTGTATAACACTGTCTTACCTGTATAACACTGTCTCTCCTGTACAACATTGTCTCACCTGTATATCACTTTCTCACCTGTATAACACTGTCTCTCATGTATAACACTGTCTCACCTGTACACCACTGTCTCACCTGTATAACACTGTCTCTCCTGTACAAAACTGTCTCACCTGTATATCACTGTATCACCTGTATAACACTGTCTTACCTGTACAACACTGTCTCACCTGTATAACATTGTCTGACCTGTATAACACTGTCTCGCCTGTACAACACTGTCGCACCTGTATAACACTGTCTTACCTGTTTAACACTGTCTCACCTGTATAACACTGTCTTACCTGTACAACACTGTCTCTCCTGTACAACACTGTCTCACCTGTACAACACTGTCTCACCTTTACAACACTGTCTCACCTGTATAACACTGTCTCGCCTGTATAACACTGTCTTACCTGTACAACACTGTCTCACCTGTATAACACTGTCTCATCTGTACAACACTGTCTCACCTGTACTTATTTTTGCGGTTAGACAAGTGGATATTGAACAAATACTCCATTTACCGTTTGGTATACGCTAAAAGGCACATTTACAAGTCCGTGGTGGAAGGGAGATAAATCCTGTAAGCAGTTTCGCGGGAATTCAAGCTTCACACATGTGACATATATTTTGAACATAAGTGATAAACATTCATTGATTTGACTTGGTAGATTAAGGAAAAGGGATTGGAGAATAAGACTGTCATAACTTTTTCCTCACTTATAACGGTAACCTCAAACAGTATTTAACTGTCGCGGTTGTCACACTGTACCTGCGGTCCTAATGTCGAGTCAGGGGCGGATACAGATATTTACGAACGGAGTAGGAAGACGACTTTTTAAATATGATTTAAGTACGAAGCACGGAGAGATGGCTGGTGTTGGCGTTGAGGATTTCGGTTTCAATTTGAAGAAAACGTTTTTCAAGGAGGCAGTATCAGTTGAAATATATCATGTTTGAATCGCAAAAGGATGGGGAGGGCGAGGGAGACTTTCCAAGGAGCTTTATAAATCTCATGGATTTCAGTTAAAAATGAACGCTTACTGTATGTAAGCAACACAGCTAGATATATCTCAATCCCACATGTTTAAAAAGATAGGGAATGCAAAATTTCAATAATTTCGTACGGATTTCATTCTAGGTTTAGCATATACAAGAAAATTGAAAATTTCAAGCTACACGTTCATTTTTTTTCTTGGAAAACATGTCAGTATATTTTCATACAGTATGGTGACAATAAATATATAACGAAATTACTGTAAAAGTTTATGTTTTCGTGCGTGCTTTTTTTCGCATAATCAACTCTCAACTTTTCGCGACATGGAAATTTTTCACGCTGTCACTCAAGGTAAAAAAGTAATTTTCACGCTTACGAAGGGGGTAAACTGGAGTACGAGTTATTTCCCTTCGTTTTCTTACCTGTACATATATATCTAAGTAAGTCTGAGCGCGAGTTGTTTTTACCTATTTCTATTGTGTTTGGTTAACTAACACTTCAGTCAGTATCGGGGCAGTTTGAAGTGTAACTTCAAAGGAATATCATTAATGTCGCGCATCACTGAGGTCGTAAAGTGATTTAAAATATATATTCTCTTTTTAACCAACAATATTTCTTCTTATTTTCCATTGATTAATAGAGTTGAACTTGAGAATGATGTGACTGACCTATTATCACCAAATAGTTTAAACACATCATTTGATACAAGAACAAGTCTCTCTATTGATGACCATATCACTCAACATGTGACATAACAATTGACCGTAAAAAATAATGATGACTGTATATCAGCTTTCTTCACCAACAGTACAGCTATAGGAGTTAATTTCAAGTTCAAGCGTTGTCATGTAAACCGAACGGAACTAAATACGACCAATCACTCGGGAGTTTATATAAAGTTTTTTTACAATTGGATTGCGAGAATGATAATTTACGTTAACGTTATCGAATAGTCATGCCTGTTGTATCCTATCTAACATTGGTACCTGGTATAAATTCTTGCATAACTTCGACAAAAGTTCCTAAGGTTAAGTTTATTTTTCGATTGAAAAGTCTATGGTTTAACCATTCTGGATACCAAGAAGTAGGGAGACGATTTTGCAACCTTCTTTCCCCTTGTCTTACATACACTCCGAAAAGAGTGTGTTCGGGAGGAGGGATACCGGATTTTTCGAATCAAAGCTAATCTATTGTGCTGACATCAAAGTGGTTGTGACCTAGGTCAGATGTATACCTTATATATAATCACCATTGATATGTAGTCTATTTTTATGATAGTTAACTGTGAACTGTGGTTTAAAACATACATGATGCGATACATCTCCCTATATTATACTTATCTGTTCTCAGTATATTTATATATATATATAAAAGATAAAAACTTTGTGTATCGTATATACAGAGAAAATTAATCACTTAACATGACAATGTAATGTACATGTAATGTAATCACCTGAAGATGGCCGCGAGGCCTGAAAACCTTAGTGATATATTTGTTTGTCATGTTAAGTGATTAATTCTCTCTCTCTCTCTCTCTCTCTCTCTCTCTCTCTCTCTCTCTCTCTCTCTCTCTCTCTCTCTCTCTCTCTCTCTCTGTCTGTCTCTCTCTCTATATATATATATATGGCTTGTAACTAATATATATGTTCAAGTAATACAAATCAATGTATTTTTACAAGAAACATGTTTACGATACAAGTTCGGATACCGTTCACTAAAGATAAACAAACTGTTACCAGACACAGCAATATTTATTCTCCAAAGCAATGAATATTCAATCATACGTTAGCAGTGATGGGACGCCATGCCGACGTCATCCTTGGTTAATTCCGACGTACAAGTCGGCTTTAGCCGGCACTAGGTCGCGGTTACAGAAGGCCGACGTGCAACAATACGTGCATTCGAAGCTATACAGATGTAGTTGCGTTGTGTCGTAGTCAGTGCATTCATGTCGGTCGGACGTCGCTGCCAGCCACTGTATCTTACAGTCGTTCTCCGTGCCGCAGCTGGTCGTAGAGAATAATGTTATATCGTAAAGACTGGTCTTATATCTAACAATGAATTTTAAATTAAACATAACGACATATTAACAGAAGAGTAAGTCAAACTCATCGAAACAAGGTTAAACTATGACTGTTTCTTCACACAAAATCAACACTGCATGTCATGCAGCCTTGAATGTCGCATCACCTGTTACATGTAAACAACGTACGATAGTGAAGGAGGGTTGTTACCTATTAAAGACCGAAATCGTCACCCATGTCATGCAGTTTAGTAGAAATATATACCTGCTATAATTTTTATTTTAGTGTTATAGGGAGTCTAGACATAGTCTGATGAGACGAGTTGGTCGTTTCTTTAATTTCCTTTTCTGATGGTTATACGACCAACAGGATAATTTCAACATTTTGCTTGTTTTTCATCAATTCTGAATTTTAAAGTTTATTTTTTGTATTCGATATATCCAGATAAAACAAGGCAATGTAGAGATTGATATTCATCAATAGAGGCTGGGATGAATGTATACAGAATAAAAAAAATGTTATTGTGACGAAATGCGTCGTGACAAATTTGTCAGCTGACTTTACACTTTCTTCCGTTCGGTGAACCGTGAACTATTGTCAAAAATTGTTATTTGAATTCTGAATCAGAGATTTTCGAAAGCTCTCAAAACTACAGTTGTCAATCACTCTTTGTACTAAAGATGAACTTTTTAAGGGCACTGTACAACACGCCCTGATACACAACTTGTGTGAATAATGACAAAAAGAATGAGTATTACACTATTAAAATGATGGCAGCACCTCCGATCATTCCCATGATTTGCAGGCACCAGGCATGAAGTTCGTGAATACATTTATATCGGACGTTAACGGGCATATGTACAAAATACCAGAAAGAGATACGTTTCTTTTAAAGCACTCTATGGGGAAAATCTGCATACTTCAGTGTATCAAACAGGAAAGACAAAGTAACTGTATAACAGGTAAATCCATGGAACCAGACGATCTCTAATATAAATTAAAAATCAATTTAAGAACGAAGATATATTTCCTAGCACACGAAAACAAAATATCGAAATACGAACAAGATAAAAAAAAAATCTGTTGAGATCATTATGTCAATCATGAAAGTACAAGGTAAGGTTTAATCTTCAGGCGATACACAGCCTAGAATGCTACATGACATAATTATAACTGATATCACGTGACATACAAAATAATTATAACTGATATCACGTGACATTCAAAACAAATCATAACTGACACCACATGACATACAAAATAATTATAACTGATATCACGTGACATACAAAACAAATTACAACTGATATCACGTGACATTCAAAACAAATTACAACTGATATCACATGACATACAAAACAAAGTATAGTTGATATCACATGACATACAAAACATATTATAACTGATATCACATGACATACGAAACAACGTATAACTGATATCACATGACATACAAAACAAAGTGTAGCTGATATCACATGACATACAAAACAAAGTGTAGCTGATATCACATGACATACAAAACAAAGTATAGCTGATATCACATGACATACAAAACAAATTATAACTGATATCACATGACCGTCATGTTTTGTATGATACAAAACAAAGTATAACTGATACCACATGTTTATGTCAGGTATAGCTTTTACAAAAATGCAATTTAAAAAGAAGATATCGTAAAAGTTAACAATTTAAAGAAAAAATACTTATGTAGGTAAATGAAACGTTTACCTTCTAAACACAGATCTCGTGCCGTCGTCGTTGTTGACAAACCTGTTGAGACAGAACTGCTGGTCCACGGTGCTACATGTCTGACGCCTCACGTGTGACTCGCAAACAAATGGCGGTCCATTACATACATAACATGAAGCTGCAACACATGAGTGGATTACTTAGGCTCTGGGGTATATCAATTATATAGTACAAAGTGTAATGAACTGTATGATTGTTAAAAATCGTCTAATGATAGACTTAATACGGTTTTATATAATCACATCCTATCATTGTTAGCATTCTTTCCGATCGGCCGTTATAACACTTTTCGTTTCTATGTAGTTATAAGTGTGCAGTTTGTTCCTAGAACGTTCAGTTGGTGTCAGCAGTCTTGTTTCAGACTACATGTTACGTTTAATTGAATACATTTTCCCATGTTTATGTAAATAAGTATTATGGAATATTTCTATTGTATACTAAAAAAAACCTTATATATTCACTTTGATAATACTTTCAAAATATACTTGTTTGTGATTTAAAGATTTTATTGTCGAACATATGACAATAATGGTCTTTTACTTCAGTTTTATACAAATGCAGTCAAAATATCGCAACGAGATCAACGTCAAAGGAGAAACACCGCAAGCACAAACCTTTACCAGAAGCAAATTATCCAATAAAGTACAGGAATATGAAATTAGTTAATACTGTATAAAAAATATCATTAACAAGTTTCTTCCTTTTGAATATGCCATCGACCTACTCGGTACCAATGTAGTAGTTGTTGGCGTGGTTGTGGTTGTAGGCGTGGTGGTAGTTGTAGGCGTGGTGGTAGTTGTAGGCGTTGTGGTGGTTGTGGGCGTGGTGGTGGTTGTTGGCGTGGTTGTGGTTGTGGGCGTGGTGGTGGTTGTAGGCGTGGTTGTGGTTGTAGGCGTTGTGGTTGTTGTAGGCGTGCTTGTGGTTGTAGGCGTTGTGGTTGTTGTGGGCGTGGTGGTGGTTGTAGGCGTGGTTGTTGTTGTAGGCGTGGTTGTCGTTGTAGGCGTGGTGGTGGTTGTAGGCGTGGTGGTGGTTGTTGGCGTAGTGGTGGTTGTCGGCGTGGTGGTTGTGGGCGTGGTGGTAGTTGTAGGCGTGGTTGTTGTTGTAGGCGTGGTGGTAGTTGTAGGCGTGGTGGTGGTTGTTGGCGTGGTTGTCGTTGTAGGCGTAGTTGTCGTTGTAGGCGTGGTGGTGGTTGTTGGCGTGGTGGTGGTTGTTGGCGTAGTGGTGGTTGTCGGCGTGGTTGTTGTAGGCGTGGTGGTAGTTGTAGGCGTGGTGGTAGTTGTAGGCGTGGTTGTCGTTGCTGTAATTGTTGATAGTGGTGATACAAAGACAGAGGAAAGTTTTATCATTAACCTGTAAAGCATTACCCTCTGATTAAACTATTTTTGCTCCTCTCAAAAACAAGGCAAAAACAATTAAAGCACCACAAGCATTTGCATGTTCTGTTTTGACCAGAAAAGCGAAGGAAGCGCGCAAAAAAAAAAAAAAAAAAGAAAAGAATAAAGTATCCTACTTGGAGTAGTTGGTTTTGGAGTTGTTAGTTTGGTTGTAGTTGGCATGGTCGTTGTAGTTGTAGAGGTTGTAGTCGTTGTAGAGGTTGTAGTCGTTGTAAGAGTACCAGCTGTAGTTGGTGTTGTAGCTTTTAGAAAAAGAAATAAATTTTCAGTAGAAAAGCCATAAAATTAGAAAATTATCTTTATACTGCTTCGAACTGCATGTTTTAACATCGAGTCTACTTCAGCCACGAGTGTGTAAACACCCAGTGAATAGATGTAGTAAGATAACATTCTCTTAGCTTTTTCTCTAAGCAGCAATATCTGAAATAGTAGATAAAGGTTAGCTAATCTTGATGTCAAGCGTAAATATAATTTTCCCCAAATTATGAAGCCAAGCTCTCCGAAAATTACAAAAAAAGCTTTATAATCGGAATACAGATATTTATTTATATCATCCAACCTAGAGAGAGACGGTCATCAATATACCTGCTGAACAGTTCTGAAACCCATGGGGTAATTATTGTGTGAAAATTATATAAGCATTTTTGAATCCTGATACTTATCTAAATGGTTACCTTCTATTTCCAACGAAAGAAGTAAGTGTGGTTTCAGTTGAAAAGTCACAAATAATTAGATTTCAACAAGCTTCCGTATTCAATTCTATCAAAAGTAAACATCTTTGAGTAATTTTTGTTCGATATGCTTTAGATCTAAAATCCCAGTATTTTATGTAGTAGTATCAGATACTTCTTGGAACAGAAATCCCGAAGTATGTTTTAAATGTTACTTCAACTAGCTATGGTGTCTTTGCAGAACAGCTTCAAAAGTTTCTCTAGAGGATGATTTTTTCATTTTGAGTTTTGATAACGCTTGGGAATATGTTGAGTGTGATAATGCTGTTATACTTACGACAATTGGTATCCACTGCCGTGATCTTGCCAACGCTGTCATGGCCAGCTGTAAATTAAACATATCAATTGGTGATAAAAATCAATGAAATGTCAACATTGAAGAACACAATTTTAAGTGACAGAAATGTATTGAAGTATGTCGGTTTGTAGTGTGTGATTGAGACCGAGACAGGTACTTTTGCTTAACTTTGAACGTCGACTGTTCAAAGACGTACACAATGATCCAAGGTTTGGATAAATGTGATTTACCACATAGATGGTGTTGAAGAGATAAAAGATATCAACATGAATCGCATTACACTACTCACAATTTGCAAAAAAAGTAATTCGAAGGTTAAAGTTTTGGCGAATATTACACAAAGACAAACTCAATTACGTAAAACTGACAAGGAAATTAATAGGGACAAGGGAATGGTGTGTGCTGGTTTGTCCTAACGCCAGGTTACAGCATAACTTTACAAAAAGATCTCATTCAGTCTTTTTGGCACTCGTGAAGCCATTGACAATCAGGTAGCGTCATCATGATGCCGATTATAGGTCATGTAAACGAGCTCCATTAAACACCCACCGTGTAATAACCAATAAGGCTGGACTAAAGATAGTACTTGTTTCTTCCTAAAGTTGAGTTCAGATTCTCTCTCGACTTCAACAACATGTAAACAAACGGTTTTGCCTAATGAACACAGTTTCGTTTAGAAAAGATTTGATTTTGCCTACTGGACACATTTTCTTTAAGAAAGCACATGCGTTTTCCTTCCAGACACATTTTCTTTAAGAAAACACATGCCTTTTCCTACCAGACACATTTTCTTTAAGAAAACACATACTTTTTCCTACCAGACACATTTTCTTTAAGAAAACACATACTTTTTCCTACCAGACACATTTTCTTTAAGAAAACACATACGTTTTCCTAACAGACAAATTTTCTATAAGAAAACACATGGTTTTTTGTCTGCTACATGTTCTTTGGTTTGTTTACTATACACACTTTCTTTTTATAAAAATATGAGTTTGTTAACTAGAAACACTTGTCTTATTTAAAACGTTATTCTTGTCTACTAGACAAACGTTCCTTATGTAAACACATGGTGTTGTCTACTACACACATTTTCTTTAAGAAAACACCTGGTTTTGTCTACTAGACAAACTTTCCGTATGCAAACACACGGAGTTGTTTACTAAACACACTTTTTTAGAAAACAAATAGTTTTGTCTACTAGACAAATTTTTCTTATGTAAAAACATGTATTTGTCTTTTAGACACACTATTTTAAAGTAAATTCATGGTGTTGTTTACTAGACACTCTTTCAATTTGTCAATAAATGGTTTTGTCTACTAGACATATTTTATTTTATTTAAAACACAAGTTGTTGTCTACTAGACCCACTTTCATCATGTCAACACAAATTGTTGTCTACTAGATCCACTTTCATCATGTCAACACAACTTGTTGTCTACTACACTCACTTACTTTATGTGTACACATGGTTTTGCCTACTAGACAAACATTTTTGTATAAACATATGGTGTTTTCCACTAGACGCACTCCTTATGTAACCACAGGGTATTGTCACCTAGACACACTTTCATAAAGAAAACACACAGCTTTGTGTACAAGAGGCACTTTTCTTATGTGAACACAGTGTTGTTTACTAGATAAACTTCTTTTAAGTAAACGCATGGTGTTATCTACTACACACAATTTCCTAATGTTAATATATGTAACCGCTATAAGACCAACTTTTCCTAGGTAAACACATGGTGTTGTCTACTATACATCTCACGTCAACAAGTGTTGTTGTCTACTAGACAAATTTACCTGATGTAAACACATGGTGTTGTCTAAAACACACAATTTCCTTATGTAAATACATGATGCCGCTTTAAGAGCCATACTGATGCTGTGTACATGACACACTTTCCTTATGAAAATACGTGGTCTTGCCTAATGGACACACTTTCTTGAAAAAATCACATATTTTTGCCTACCAGACACATTTTCCTTTAGACAACACATGGTTTTGCCTACTACACGTACTTTGTTTTGTTTACTATACACACTGTCTTTTCATAAATACGTAAGTTTGTTAACAAGACAAACTTATGTAAAACGTCAGTCTTGTCTACTAAAAAACGTTCCTTATGTAAACACATGGTCATGTCTACTAAACACACTTTCCTTTTGAAAACACATGGTCTTGGTTACTATATAAACTTTCCTTTTGAAAACACATGGTCTTGTCTACTATACACACTTTCCTTTTGAAAACACATTGTTTTGACTACAGACAAATTTTCCTTATGTAAAACTGTATTTGTCTTTCGGTAAACAAATGGTTTTATCTACTAGACACGTTTTCTTTATGTAATAACACATAATATTGTCTTCTACACACATTGTTTTTCGGTTAACACATGTCATTGTCTACTAATTGAACTTTCTTCAGATAAACACTTGGTGTTGTCTTCTAGAGACACTTTTATTGAGAAAACACATGCCTTTGTCTACAAGACTCACTTTCATTATGTAAACAAAAGGTGTTGTCTACTAGACCCAATTTCCTTATGTAAACACATGTTGTTGTCTAGTAGAAAAACTTACCTTATTTATACACTTGATTTTGCCTACTAGACACACTTCCTTTAAGAAAACTCATGGTTTGCTCACCAGACACACTCTCTTAAAGTAAACACAAATGTTGTCAACGAGAGACATTTTCTTTAAGTTAACACGCTGTTGTGTATTAGGGACACGTTCATTAAGAAAACACATGTGTTGGCTACTAAACACAATTTCTTAAAATAAACACATTAAGAAAACACATGTGTTGTCCACTAAACACACTTTCCGTATGCAATCACTTTGTGTTGTCTACTTGATGAATTTTCTTATGAAAACATATTGGTTATGTCTAATGGACACACTTCCTTGAAATAAACACAAAGAGATGTCTACCAGACACACTTTCTTTATATAAACACAAGTAGTTGTGTAATAAACATTCTTCCTTGACGTATACTCATTGTGGTGTCTACCAGCTCTCTTTCCTGTAGTAAACACATCTATTTTTTACTAGATACACTTCTCCTAATTAAACCTCCTAGACACCCTTTCTTGATTCAACCACATTTTGTTTTCTACTAGTCATGCTTTCTTTGAGTTAGCACATGGCGTTGTCCACGAGACACACTTTCCATAAATAAGCACAAGGGTGTCTATTGTAGACACAGTTTCGTAAGGTAAACGCAAGATATTGTCTGCTGGACATGTTTTCTTTAATAAGTAATCACAGTATGTTGTCTATCCAACACATGTTGTGTTAGTAATCACAGGATGTTGTCTACCAAACACATTTTGTGTTAGTAATCACAGGATGTTGTCTATCCAACACGTTTTGTGTTAGTAATCACAGGATGTTGTCTATCCAACACATTTTGTGTTAGTAATCACAGGATGTTGTCTATCCAACACATTTTGTGTTAGTAATCACAGGATGTTGTCTACCAAACACATTTTGTGTAAGTAACCACAGGATGTTGTCTACCAGATTCCCTTTCTTTATGTCAACAGAGGATGTTGTCTACGAAACTCACTTTGTGTAAGTAATCACAGGATGTTGTCTATCCAACACATTTTGTGTTAGTAATCACAGGATGTTGTCTACTAGACTCACTTTCTTGAAACAAACACTTTGTATAAGAAACACATTGTGGTGACTACCAAACACATTTTGTGTAAGCAATCACAGGATGTTGTCTATCAAACACATTTTGTGTTACTAATCACAGGATGTTGTCTACCAAACACATTTTCCGTAAGTAATCACAGGATGTTGTCTACCAAACACATTTTCGATTAATAAACACATGGTGTGGTCTGCTAGACACATTTTCGTTCTTGATATAAACACGTGGTGTTGTCTACTACACTTCCATTAAGTAAACACATGGTGTTGCCTGATTGACAACTTTCCTTATGTACACATATGGTGTTGTCTACTGGACACACTTGTTTTGATTAAACACTTTGTGATGTCTTCTAGACATATTTTTTTTATGTAATCCCATGTTGTTGTCTAGTAGACACATTTTCTTTAAGTAAACACATGGTGTATCTATTAGACTCATTTTCCTTATGTAAACACATGGTGTTGTCTATTAGACACACTTTCTATATTAACATAGCGTGTTGTCTACCAGACACACTTCTTTGGGAAACTCATGGAATTGTTTACAAGACAAACTTGGCTTATGTTAACACATGGTGTCGTCTGCCAAACATACTTTCGTAATGTAAACACATGGTGTTGTTTACCAGACATAATTACTTTTGTGAACTATATGGTGTTCTCTACCAGACATACTTTCTTTAGGGAACCATATCGTGCTTGTCTACCAGACATACTTTCTTTAGGGAACAATATCGTGCTTGTCTACCAGCAATACTTCCTTTAGGGAACCATATCGTGCTTGTCTACCAGCCATACTTTCTTTAAGGAACAATATCGTGCTCGTCTACCAGCCATACTTTCTTAAGGGAACAATATCGTGCTTGTCTACCAGACATACTTTCTTTAGGAAACCATATCGTGCTTGTCTACCAGCCATACTTTCTTTAGGGAACCATATCGTGCTTGTCTACCAGCCATACTTTCTTTAGGGAACAATATCGTGCTTGTCTACCAGACATACTTTCTTTAGGGAACAATATCGTGCTTGTCTACCAGCCATACTTTCTTTAGGGAACAATATCGTGCTCGTCTACCAGCCATACTTTCTTTAGGGAACAATATCGTGCTTGTCTACCAGACATACTTTCTTTAGGAAACCATATCGTGCTTGTCTACCAGCCATACTTTCTTTAGGGAACCATATCGTGCTTGTCTACAAGCCATACTTTCTTTAGGGAACAATATCGTGCTTGTCTACCAGACATACTTTCTTTAGGAAACAATATCGTGCTCGTCTACCGGCCATACTTTCTTTAGGGAACAATATCGTGCTTGTCTACCAGACATAATTTCTTTAGGGAACCATATCGTGCTTGTCTACCAGCCATACTTTCTTTAGGGAACCATATCGTGCTTGTCTACCAGACATACCTTCTTTAGGGAACCATATCGCGTTGTTTACTTACTTTTGTTGTAAGGATTGAAGTTATTGCACAAAGATGTGTTACAACATTCAGACAATATTTGTATGTTAGTTATTTCTTGTTCAGTATTACGTCTCCCAACTGATTCGGCGGGAAGGTGAAAGTCTTGTGGCCCATTGCACTCCTTAGAATAGAGAAACATAGTAACACGTTGATACGTATATGAAATAACAAGTAATATAATGCTACGTTAAAATGGTGGGGGTTGATGTTCATAATTTCCCATATTTTAACAAATAGGTTTTCTTCCTTTTGACAATATTGCCAATCAAATCAATGATTATTTTTTTAATTTCAACAAGAAATTACCAAATATTCACAAGATAACAAAACTTATTACTTAAAATCGACGTCTCCCGAGTTATTGGTAAATCCAAGTAATCCAATATAATCAAATGGAAACGAGGCTAATAGCAACAATACCATCAGACAGAAACACAGTTTTCTGAATGAAATTATAATTGGGAAACATCTCCCTTTTCTTTAACAATCTGAATATCAGCTGTAGTTTAAGTAAAACAAATCTGCTTGTCCTCAACATACATAAATAATTTAAAGCACTTTTTAGAATTTAATCTAGATTTTTAGTAAATATTGCACGGATATAAGAATTTCCTTATCACAATCCAACCTAGAAAAAATACAATATAGGAAGCGGTTCTACGACCACATAGATTTAATCATATCAATCAACGGCTTCGTCTTATCATATTATGATACAATATTACTAAAATTCAACAGAAATTATCAAACTTCAGGAGTACAAAATAAACAATTTTATTAAAAATGATAATAAAAAAAACAAAAACAAAAAAAATCAATTTAGTGTCCAACATATCACGTCTTGTATTATTAATAGGAATCGGTGGTATATATATTAAGCACATAATGGAAAGGCAAAGCGACATCGCAACTATCTTGGTGTTAAAGTAATAATCTCCATTACAGATTATAAGGATGTATGTAATTTTTAACACTAGTTGAATGAAAAAAAATACTATTCACAAAAAGGGAGGTTATAAAGCTTATCAGATGTTGCCAAATATGTCAGACTTACACAATAATAGAACACACACGATGGAGTTTAAATTAATGAAACTGGTAATTTAGGATTTTTCTCAACTCACTAAAACTTTGTGAGTCACCACAAGGTATGTCGTAACAACAACATTATATATTTACATCAATCAAGATAGATTATAGGTCAGAAAACATTTACAATAAGAGACTACCCCAACAGCACTACTCACCGCTGCTCTGTAACAGTCACTGCGATATCGAATTTCTTTGTGAATGTTAGAAAAATACACTTCTACCCTGCATTGCTGTGGAAAAAAGCAAAACATATCTTAACGCACTTCACCGTAATGAACTCTAGACAAATCCAATTATTGATCTGTATCGTATTGTAAGCAGTAGTTATCTTCAGAAATGGTTTCATTATCATTTATTTAATTCCTACAAGGAGAAGAGCTAAAAACTGTTTACAAGTTTTATGTATTATAAGTTATTGACCAAAGAGATAGATATTTAATAATCTGCATGCAGACTAAATAATGATAATAGTTGTCGTTTACGCACTTCATTCAAGTTGCATATTTTCATGCCTCCGCATTTTTCTGGATGTAAAATATCATCACAACTGTAACATCTCGGAGGTTTATTTGGGTCATCGTCACTTATCCTGTCAACTGAATAAAATCAATGCTGGTATATCATCGGACAAGTACTTTAAACATGATTTAATATTTCAGAGGCGCTAAGGAAAAGGAACTGTGTGTTACTTAACAATGTCTAGAGTTATACAAGAATGGGTGGTATATACAGCTGTGTGCTACCTTACAATGAATATAGTTATTCACAACCAGTTGTGTGTTATTTTACCATGCTTAGATATTACACAAGCAGCATAGCTACATGCTATATCAGAATGTCAACGGTTCTGCTAAAACTGATACCCTGATACCACAGGAAAAAGCACAGCTACATCCTATATTAGTTCTGCTAAAACTGATACCACAAAAAGCATCACAGCTACATGCTATATTAGAATTCCATATCTTATTCTATCAAGGAAACAGCAAAAACGTTAACGGCTGTATAAGACTGCTATATGTTATACCACTATGACTGATACAACAGTAGGTTACTGTAGTAGAATTGCAACACTTATACTAACAGTTACACAGCTTGAGGTTACAAAGCTGTCTGTTACAGCACTCGGCGCAAATAGTTCCTACGGAATCATCTCGTTTTCCAACAAGTATTGGGTCAGATTTCACTTTGTTTGATAAACATGTTTGAATATGGCACACCTGCAACAAAGGAATTTGCATTAATTTGTAACGTGTGTTTCCCATACCAATAATAAACCGGACAATGTGCATTGATCACGTGCATATGTTTAAATAGAGATGTTTTTCGGAGACACAGCTTATAGTAATATCGTGTTTAACCTTGTGACGCTGCTATTAACAAATTTAATCATGATAGCACGCGTCATGAAAAATTGTTTTACTTGTGTGCCTGTAAGAATTTCTTACACATTACTAAACTAGAACTTAAGTTGTAGCTCTCTCTGAAATAAGTAATAGATTCTGTATAGATATATTTATTCAATAAACGGTATTGATTATACAAACTTGTCTTTGTGTCTGACTATAACAATTTGTAGTACCGTTTTGCTTCTACAACCGCCTCTGTATAATCTTTTTCCATCCCTCCGGACATAATGTTCTAGGTAGCATACCTATAATATAATGGTTTTATGAGTTGATATGCTAAACAACACAATGCAGGTAGTTGTCTCACTAGTTGTTATAACTATGTATAGCTACTTATCTAAACAGATCGTGAATACGATACATATCAGAGACAGATCTCTCTTTAAAGCATTAACGAGGTGACAAAGACACGAAGTTATAAGGAACAGTGATGTATTTCGCTCTATTCACTATTTCTGTGAAATTATATTAAGGAATTAATGATACATTATATATATATGTGTGAACGGCATTATTGTCCCAAGCACCAAAAGGGATGCTAATATTTTTTACCAGACTTTGATCTTGATATCGGTCAACGATTAGTACATGTTTAAAGAGAGTGGAGTGTTTCACCAGTCAGATCCAAAAACAAAGCCAGTACTTAGGAATCAATTAAATACATTCACACATACACAGGATAGACTCAATGAATATTGAATATCCTATTTACTGTGTTTTTTATGTCTCTAAGCACAAATACAGCAATCATGACTGAGGTAATTACTTTCTGTACACTACGTTCTAGATAATCATTTAAGGATAACATTTAACTCAATTGTAGAAGTTTAAAGTCAATCTGTACATGAGATAAAGAAGTCAGAAATTGAATTTAGGTCCTGTATCGAGTTCATTATATAAAGAACTGATTAATACATAATTTGTGTTGATATCTGACGTGAAGTATTCGAAAATGGGAATATAATATTTGTGATTTATTTCACACCAATGATAAGCACGGACAGGTTATACATACATCATCTGGACCACACTGTGTTAGTTGTGTACACTGATCAGGAGCCTCGGCAGAATCACATGAAAAACATGATATTCCCTCTGTAGATGAAAAATCAATAGAAATGAAAAGAAACCACAGATACATTGTTCTTGGTGCATAATGGAATAATTTTGTATAGTATATAAAGACAGGTTTTAATATAGAAATGTAGTTGGTATCTGACCACAAATATCACCGTTGCATATCTTTATGTTTTAATCTAATTTTGTTCTTTTTTCTTTATTTTTCTTTCTTTATATATATATATATATCTACATATATCATTTTAACCACATGCTATGTTTTTACATTCAATCTAAACGTTTATCAAGGCAAAAGTAAGAAAAATGCATCTTTTTTCTGTTGGTCTTTATCATTTATTAATTTTACTAAATGCAGTGATTGTCGGACATGACAGCGTTTACCGAGTCAGTGAGAGTGTGACGTTGACACATCAAAGACACACATTTATAACCAGGAACTTCTGGCCGTACAGTAAACAAATTGATAAGAATATTGATTCTTCTGATAACTAAGACCACTTTTCTATTGCGACAAGTGTGTGTTTTTCAACTCTCGAGGAATCGATTCACCATTGCAACTATAATATTTTAGCATGTTATGATTGGATAACAAGATGAACTTGGACGCGAAACTTACTCACGGAAATTAGAACGCGAAACACGTAGTTCACTATTGTTTTTGTAATAATTGGATTTGTGTTTGGCTTTTTATCGTTTGATGCTTTCAAGATAGCTGCAGGGTACAAAGCTTGTGTTTATTTATTTATCACAACTTTTGATAAATTACTACCTCCATTTAAAGAAATGCAGTGATCTGAAAAAAAGGTATTCCGCGGAGGTATTTGTTCAACACCGGTCTGTCATTTTGGTTATGAAAGTGAAAATGAGTACGAATATTTTTGTCTGTTCTCAATTTTCAAATGTACGAACAAAACTATTACATTTCCTTTCAAATATCGATAATCAGCTCATTCCTGATCTTGATACTCTTCTAAGGGGAAATGCTGATCTTTCGTATGAAACAATTGTTGATATAGTTATTGTTGTTTTGTCCATCATAAAATCTAAAAAGAGATTTAAAACCACTTAAAGGATAATCATTGCTATCGGGACACCAATTTCTTATCTCCTTTTCACCATTTATCTCATTTCACTTCCTTCTTCCTTTCTGTCCCTACTGTCCAATAAATCGATTGAGTTATAGCTTTTGTCATCACGTGAAAATTGTACCAATTGCATATTGCTTTGTCGGAAGGGGCCCTAGTAAATTGCTAAGACGTGTGCCCAGTTCATTTGAATTTATGTCAATAAGACGTGTTTGAAAGAGAAAAGAAATACACCCCACAACCATTCATTGTGTTAAACTTTATATAACAGAAAACGGAATAAATGAGTCATATTTATTTGTGTATAAAATGTATAAAATATAAGGATGTAAGGGTTTATATAAAATGTAAGGATGTAAGGGTTTATATAAAATGTGAGGATGTATGGGTTTATATCAAATGTAAATATGAAAGGGTTAATATAAAATGCAAGGATGTAAGGGTTTATATCAAATGTAAATATGAAAGGGTTTATATAAAATGTGAGGATGTATGGGTTTATATCAAATGTAAGAGTTTATATACTGTAAGGATGCAAGAATTCACTTAAAAAGTACGGATGTAAGTGTCATATATAATTGTAAGGTTTCGAAGGCTTATTCAAAATGTATAGATTCAAGGGTTTATATAAAATGTGTGGATGTAAAGGTTTATATAAAATAATTGAATATTAAATTTTATATAAAATGTATGGATGTAAAGGTTTGTATAAAATGATTGAATATTAAATTTTATATAACATGTATGGATGTAAAGGTTTATATAGAATGATTGGATGTAAAATTTTATATAAAATGTATGGATGTAAAGGTTTATATAAAATCATTGGATGTAAAGGTTTATATAAAATGATACGCGATTGCGTTTGGGTTTGATTAGATACATAGAGTAGAGCGGAAAGCGACAAATAAAGTATATTTTCTGTCAGTTGAAAGGATGCTTGGATTTACTATGAGTTTTTCATACAAACACAAACTCATTTATAGCCTTTATAGACGACAGATCGCTGCAGTAAAAACTCGACATAAGTTGTTTACCTGCAACACTCTGTCCTTTATAACGACCATAAATACCATAACAAGGTAATGCTTCTGTTTACATTACTCATACACATCGGCGGCATGTATTGATAACAATTTGATTTAAGCTATGAACTATTCATTATTGATAGTGCAATCTGTCAAATGAAACAGCAATGCTGACGTTGCGAAGTCTCCGTTCTTCTGGTTATTCAATAACGAAATTAAGATATTGGCCAGTGCGAGTTGGTTTCCACCATACCTTAAAAGCTTTATCATACCTAATTGATACAAAGCGCAACTAAAGAAAGTTACTGATTAAGAACAGAAAAAGGTGTCGTTTGCACATTGTAGGCATAATTGGTAACATGTTCTGCTCATCTCTTGTGTCATCTGCATTGTGTGTTCGGTACCAAGCGCCACCGCATTTTTAACCTGATTTGCTCGACGGAAACACTCACTGTGTTTCAGTTCTCATGTTTTAGTTCAGTATTCAGTGTAGAACCAAACACATTATCTTTTGCTGATGTGAATATTGCGTAAAAGTTTTTTTGTTATATATCATATATGTACATATCAAATAACCACATTTTATGTAGGGAAGAATTTACCTTCATCGGCTCTCACATCGATCATACAGCAAGAGAGAAAACCTGTAAATGAAATGGAACACAGATGACGCATTTGTTATTTCAAGATGACAGCACTAAGGTGACATCATTTATAACTAAACGTCACAACAGTTTCCGACATTCAGGTCATAAAATAGACGCTACATCTGTAGCTAAGTAAACTTTTAAACATCATATAAAAACATTGGATAAAGTTCGTTATTAAATTATACAATGGTATAAAGAGACGATATCAAAGCTAGACATACCTGATGTATCCAATTACAATAAAAGAAAATTAATTTGTGGTTTTAAAGTACAAAGACAATGCGTAAATTTGTCGTTAATTGGGAAATGGTTGTTCTTATTTGTTATTTTATGGTGTGGTTATTACGGATACGATATCTTTAGTTTAAACAATGTTGCATTTATTAAAAAAAAAGAAGGAAAAAACACAGAATAAACAAAGGTGGAATGAGATTTGTCGGCAAGCTTGTAACTTATATTTTGAAAGCATTTTTCGTGTTTACGCTCCTTTAAAAACAATCGTCGTTCATTGAACGTTAAACGTACTGGAAACTGACAGAATAGCAAATTGTTTATCAACTGCAGGAAGTAAACAAAAATAGTTCCAAAATAATGTCATATTTTCCTTACATTTTTGTTGATTATTTTAAATATTTACATTTACATATTTCTTGGGAGTTTTCTCGTTGATATAAGATAAGTTCACAAGATTAGAAACAAATTTAGAACCAACGCAAAAGCAGCCAGCAACACTAGAAGATAGCCCAACAGAAAATCATTGATTGAAAACATACCATGAGTGATACAACATAATATCTGGATGTCTAACTTGTCTCCTCACTTTGAAATACGTTTATAACAAGCCAAGTTGTCATTATTCAAGGAGAATTGTTGATGCAGCGCTTGACAAAAATGATATATCTAATTTATTGAATATCAATATATCTTATCGATAAAATCTTATTAAATGATATCTTATTTGAAGTTTCTAATATATCTAAGGTATTTACTCACAGACACAGACACACACACACACACACACACACACACACACACACACACACACACACACACACACACACACACACACACACACACACACACACACACACACACACACACATATATATATATATATATATAGTAAATGAGATATTTAAGTGACTGAATGAGATATGATTTTAATGAGGTGTTTTATTTAATTTCAGTGAAAAAACATTCAATTATATATAGATTATTATCAATAAATGAGACATATACTGTTACCAAATAAGATATCTGATGTACAATACACGATAACTCATTGAGATAATTGGATGTCTTAACAGGAAATTAGATAAGAGACATCATAAAGTAAATAAGCTATGGAATTTAGTAGATAATATATGAATATAGTCAATAAGATATAGAAGTTTGTAAATAAGATATAGAAGTTTGTAAATGATATATGGAATATAGTAAATAAGATATAGAAGTCTGTAAATAAGATATGGAAGTTTGTAAATAAGAATATATAGTAAATAAGATATAGAATATAGATATGGAAATAAATAAGATATGGAAATCAGTTAATAAAATATGGAATTTTGTAAATAAGGTATGGAATTTCGTAAGTAAGGTATGGAATTTAGTAAATAAGGTAAGGAATTGTATAAATAAGATATTGATTTTAGTAATTAATGTATCTGATTTAATTTTCTGTATAAGATATTATATTTTTAAACTAGATATCGTATTTACGACATTATATATTATCAAAAGGTAGATATATCAGATCGATAGGTTCAATACACAATCAACGTTGTATCATGAAGTAATGACAACTTCACTTACAATGTTTGTATATCGAAATGTATGGACGTAAACAAACGTCGGGCAATTGTACTCAGCATAAATAATCGCAAGACAGTGCTAGCCAAGTCCTTGCGTAAATTAAGAAATTTGAAAATATCAACATTGCTGTAAGTTACTTTTATTTATAAACAAAACAACACAATATATACACATGTATCAAAAAATATACATGAAATGATTATAACCACCTTTCAAGAATATCATCATGTCTCCGTATCATTATTTGACACATGGTGTGTAACCCAATACCACATGTAATTTATAGTTCTTCTGCAGAAAAAAAAGACTTACCATTCTCATTAATTGTCATCACAATTAAAACCTACGTCTAACAGATTCAGTTTTGTTACAAAATCGCGATAACAGTGTCAAGTTAGACAACTACCTGTCAACTGGTGAAAAGCGATTTCACTCTACCCTAGGATAGTGTGTTCGATAGATTATAGCAAAAGTCAAACAAATGTC